TTTCTATTTTTGCAGTACTTTCTTTTTCTTTTCTTTTATTGTTCTGCAACAAAATAAGGCAATTAATTAAATCAGTTTGACACTGTGTGCACATATACATTTTTGCCAATATGTTTTCTATTAACTGCTTTGCTTTGTGTTACAGTGACTTGAGCTCACAGACGGGGTCAGGAAGGAGAGTTTACAAGCAGTTATCACCCACCAGTCGATGCTCAGATGCTGATCCTGATCTCAAACATGAACACGTTTAGAAACGGTAAAACATTTTGTGAAGAGCTCCCCTCCAAACCAAGGGGCAACCTGACTCAAACATGAAAAGTGAAGCCAGTGCTGAACAGCCTTAACCCTGAATTCTTTCTAACGGCCAGCAGGGGGCAACTCCACCAGCTGCAGAAGGAAGAGTGATTGCATAGAAGTCTATGAGACAATGTTTCTACTTGTCAGCTGATTTATTCCCTCAGTAAACACTTTCCTGATGAGTTTCTGATCTCAGTCGCTAGTTTCAAGTCTTCTTCAACACAGCATGATGTTCATTTAGTAAATCATGGTCCCATTTAGAGGAACAGAGACCAGGAAGCAGGGGAGGCTTTAGGGCGGGGCTACAAGCTGATTGACAAGTTACTACCACACCAAACTGTCAGGCTGAGCAGCAATGCGTATCCCAATCAGTCAGTCCAATCAGTGTTGCCCAAAGCCCTAAATAACATCCGCAAATGTCTTGTTTTGTCCACAACCGAAAGATATTCAATTTACTGTCATATATAAGAGGAAATAAACCAGAAAATATTCACATTTAAGAAGCTGGAAACAGAAACATTTTGCTGTTTGTTTCTATATTTAATAGTTGACAACTAATCGATAAATTGACTAATCGTTGCAGCTCACGTCCAATTCTGTTATTAAAACCAATGTTTAGAAATCTAAGACATGCCCTTCAATGCCATGTAATGTCTTCAAGTAAAGAAAAGATTATTCAGGCGTAAAGCTGCATGCAGGCAATCACCAGCATGCTGACATCCTCACATAGATAATCCTGGAGTGTTTTACAGGTATAATGTTTACCACGTTCATTGTGTTGGTTTAGTGTGTTGGCATGCTAACATTTGCTAATTAGCACAAAACACGGTACAGTACAGCTGAGGATGATGGGAATGGAGTCATTAACCAAAGTATTCAATCCTGTGTTTGTAGAATTAGAGACAAATAAAACATTTTGACCTGATGTTGACACTACAGGGTGGCAAAGGATAAGATGCCTGCCTTTGGTGTGAGAGACCCGGGTTCAATCCCCCCCCACTGTCACCCATCCACCAATGTGTCCCTGATCAAGACACTCAACCCCTAGTTGCTCCAGAGGCGTGCGACCTCTGACAGTGGAAAGTAAGTCGCTTTGGATAAAAGCGTCAGCTCATTGAATAAATGTAAAATGTACAGGATCACCTCTGAATTATATTTCATCCTGGAACATGTCTGAGACTGTGCTTCCAAGAAGAACAGCAGCATCGTCATTTCAGCAAACGCCCCAGAGTGAAATCGGTTTACATCCATGTCTTTTGCACGTATTGCTTACTTTATTGATGCTCGTTTGTTGTTCCTTAAATGTAAGTCGTTTTGAATAAAAGCGTCTGCCATAAACCAAATATTAAATAAAATAAAATGTTGACCAGATGATGGTAGGCTAAAAGGAGAAAACTCAGAGGACCACCGGGAACCATGAATGTGGTGAACCAAATTTCAAACCATCCAAAAGTTGGTGATGGGATATTGCAATAAAGAACAAAAAAAAGACAACCTCATGGTGGCGCTAGAGGGAAAATCAGAGGATCATGAAAGTCCAGAGGATTCTTCATCTTGATATCATGGATATCTGTACCAAAATTTGTTCCAGTGCATGCAGAAAAGTATGAGATATTTGACAGGAGAAGTGATTTATTTTTACCTGCAAGTCACCAACATCAATATCACGCATCCTCTGTGCAACATGAGTGTCCAATAGCAATTGTTGATATTTCAGTCCGAACCAAAGATGTGGACCGAACGACCCTCAGAGCAACACGGGAATAATATTTGATAATAATAACAATTGTCATCACTCACTCATTCACCACACCCAGACTTCCTCCTGCACTCACACAGTCACCAAGCCTCTGCCACCGTTCATGCTTTATCTGTAATTCTCCATTAATTTGCGTCTCTGGAGGGACTGCAGATGAATGAGAGAACTGCCGGGTGATAATCATCGCAGTGCATTAACGGAGGGGAAGGCCATGACTCAGTTCACTCTAATGAGCTACTCCAGCAACTCTGCACATTTCACTCTGAATTAAAAAATGGGAGCTGAGGATATAACCGCCTCGTTTGGTAACTTTGTTATCCTATATAAAGTCTTAAGTGTTAGGGAGATGGTTAACATTTCGGGAAATATGCTTTCTTTCCAAGAGTTAGATGAGATTGAAACCAATCTTATGTCAGTGTGTTAAGAACTGAGCCAGAGTCAGGAGGCTATTAGCTTCGCTTAGCATAAAGACTGGAAGCAGAGGGAAACAACCTGGCTCCAACCAAAAGATCAAATATACACCGAGCAGCACCTCTAAAACTTTCTGTTTGATTAACACTTTGTACCTTGTCTGTTATGTTCTGTGCACAAAATGTGAAAAGGACAAAAGTCGTCATTTACGGGGGAAAGCGTTTTCTTTAATCTTTGATATGTTGCCTCTGATATTCTCAAGAATTATACTGTGATATTTGCACAACACTTCTTCAATCAATTATAGAATGACTAAAGTTCTTCATTTATTGACTTTGTGCAGAAAAAAATAAAGATAAATCCCCAACAATGTTTTAAGTCGATAAAATAAATGATTAAGCAAAGAAAAATGGGTCAAACAAAGTGCTGATTTTCTGTTTCATATCATTTTAAATTAAATCTCTTAAGGTCGTCACCTTAGGCTCTGAATGAGTAATTGATTAATTAAAATTATAAAATAATCAACATATTATAATATTAATTGTTAGTTGAAGCCACAGAACATGTAATAACAAACAATCTCCCTCCACAATATCATCTGATGATAACAAAACATGTCAAAACATGTGTCTGAAATAATAATGGTGCAGTACATTTACTTATTTACACATAATCTACAACATTATGGCAAACATGCTGGAGTTTAAAATAACTGTAACATGCATTACGGTCAGTATAAACTCAGTGCAGAGAGCAGTGACATCATGATACTGATGGTGGTTATTAATGTTATTTTAATGAGGAACATCGCCATCTAGCTGTTATCATCGTCTCTTCATTGATAGTTGAATTGCCAAATAAAAAACAAAGAAACATTTTCCTGTTGTGATTTACAAGTTATGTTTGAGTTTTTCTTTTTTTTTTTTTTTTTTAATCTCTTGTAATATTTATTTTCCTGACAATGGTCTCATTATTCCTCAGAAATGACATTACAATGAGCTTATTTTACTTTCTGTCGCTTTAAAAAAAAAAAAATCTGCTACAGTGAAGTTTATTAATATTTTATTAATATCCCTGCAGACACTGACATAGTGCCTTTCACACTGGGATTAATAGCTGTCAGAATAAAAGTTGACATATACAAACTCAGAGCGCAGAACTGTGTAGGTACATTTTCACTGAAATGAGAACGTTGGACATCCGGATATAACCTTCAAAATAAAAGAGTAGTAAATATACTGCAATATTGAACATATTCCTCATTATCCTTTTATATTTTGTCAATATTATATTTATTTATATAAATGCAAATCTGCACAGCACAAAGCCGGAGTGATGCACATGTAAATAACTGTCACATTGTTTTATTTTTCTTTTAAAAATAGTTCTGTTATATTCTTTTATGACTTGCACATGTGTTTATTCCATGTTTTTATTTGTTTATATCAGCTACGTATATGTTTATGCTTATGTCTAGCTCCTAATCAGCATAGCAAATTCCTCATACGTGTAAAATACTACTTGGCAATAAAGCTCTTTCTGATTATGATAAACAAACAATAAATAAATGTAAGTAAAGAGAATGAATAGTGAACAGTTCATCAGCCACCTTACGGGACAACAGTACTGTAAAGCTTTGAGTACTTTTGAGCCCTCAAGTGCTGATGTTCAGCTCCCTCACCAAGAAATCCCAGCAGGATAACCTTTCTGAAGCAGAAGTTCAGTAGGTGCACTTCTACACCTCCTCCATCACCATCTGGTACGCTGCTGCCACCGCCAGGGACGAGGGCAGGCTGCAGCGCATCATTCGCTCTGCAGAGAAGACTGTGGCCAAACCCTCACACCCTGGACAAAAACCATTTCAGACTGCGGTCCATCAGGACCAAAACCTCCTGCTACAAGAACAGCTTCTTCCCGTCTGCAGCTGGCCTCCTTAACAAGGCCTGGACCCCCAATAACTCAGACTCTCATGTCCCCCTTCCCTGTTAATCTTTGCACAACACATCAGATCTGATTCTGTTTCTTCCATTGAACATTTAACTACTTATATATAATCTGTCAGTGTCATATCTTTTAGGTATCTTTTTATTTATAGAGGTTTATTTAAAGTTTTTTTTGCACATCTAATGACCAAAACAAATTCCTTGTATGTGAAAAAACAACTTGGCGATAAATCCGATTCTGATTGAACATTTACATAGTACATTTTCCTGATTATAATGCTAATAATTACTCATTTAGCTGACTATTTTATCCAGGTTGCATGCCTCTGGAGCGGTTAAGTGTTTTGCTGGAGGACACACTGGCGGATGTTGCAGCTGGAATCGAACCCAGGTCTTCCACATCAAAAGCATTTGTCTGATTACACTCACATAATTTTACTTAACTAACATTTGTCAAAGCAGAGCCTTTACTTGTAAAAGAGGATTTGTCACAGTGTGGTACTTTTAGCACTTCTACTGATTCTGGATATTTTCTGTTGTCACATCATTGAGAATATAAACTTTTATTTTGAAGCGAGGCTGTTGCTTCCGGTAGCATGGCAGATTTCTGCGGCTGACGTTGAGCCAGGCAGTCTGATCGTACTGCCGAGCTGCAGAGCTACACTTTCATCTGAGCAGGATCATGGAGTAAAAAAAAACAAAACATGGCCCACAACAGAAGCTTTTTCCTTGAAGGTAAGCTGTGACACTCCGCTCGGCCGGCAGCCATTTTACCCGCACACGGTGCTCGGATTCCTGCCCGCCGAGGCAGATGTCGGGTCCCCCGGTGTCAACACATAATCATCGGTGCAGAATATGTGCTTGGTGGGGGGTGGGGGCTAGGTGGCTAACGTTATCCTCATAATGTTTACTGCCGGAACAACCTCAGCTAGCGGGGGGAAAGGACAGGGAAAACCGTCTTGGCTGTCCGATCCGGTGGATTTATTTTTTAAAACTGAATCTGGACTTGGAAGCCTGAGCTAGCACCATTAGCGCAGCCGTTAGCAGCAATGTGGGAGCTGGGTGTAGCTTTTAGCTGAGGCAGGCCTTCCTGCCAGGCGGTTAGCTGACAACTAACGCTTATACAACACAGTAAAACACACAAACACTTTACTAATAAACGTAAAATTATATTAAAACGTGTCCCGACGCAAAGCCGGCTGCTGTTAGCCTCCAAGCTAGCCTGCTAACTTTGCTAGCATCAAGTATCAGCTAGCTGACATAAATAATAAATAACTGTAAACAGCAAATATTCCCAGTGTTTAATAACATTTCTCGTGGCGGTATTCACTTGTTCTGATAGTTCACACTTTATTCTTAGAGGAAATACATTTTTTTGAATGAATAAATATAATTAAAACCGTATTTAAAAGCTCTTTAGAGAGAGAGAGAGAGGCTCGCCTGCCTCCTCTCAGATAAAAGAGCTGACTGATTGTGTCATTACTGCCTTGCTCAATGGCAGCATCAAGCCCCCAACGTCTCCTCACAAAGCAGATCTGTTTTAAATGTTAAAGAAGTAACGTTAAGCCTGTGTGGTGTTTTTAAATATGTAGTTTAAGACCGTATCTGAGGACTAAAACAATACCTTACTTTGACGTGTAAAATTTGTTAACCTCACTTTTTATTCAAAGGCTCAGGCCTGAGATGCAGCAGAGCTCTATTGTTGTCCAAAAACTATTTAAACACACCATATTCTGACTCAGTCACACATACACCGTCCCGCTTGCCTGAAATCCTAGCTGGAGCGCCGAATGTAAATTCATCCGCTGCTGAAAATAGTCCCAGACAAATGCACTATTTCCTCCTGTTTTGTTTAAAAACTACAGTGAACAGCTGTTTTAGGAAATGACTCTAAAAAAGGTATTTATTTGTGAAATGCTTTTAAAGGTTTGAGCTGAGAGCCACGGACAGGACATCAGAAAGAGAGACGAACCAACACATTGCTGGTTATGGTCTTTTTGTGGGATTATTTGTAAAGAAGAGAAATATAGAATAATGCCAGGATTAACCTTTTTAAAAGAGAAACAAAAGTTCCCCAATGAGAAGTGCTCTCAAGTCAACAACCAGCCGAACTGGAACATCATCTAAATTAGGAAATATTTTGATTATATTCTGAACTATCTAATGAGAGAAAAAGTTAACAAGATTATAAATATGATCATTTTTACACCCAGTGCGTCGGACACTTTTCACTTTGTATTTGAGGTTCAGCAAGTAGCCTTATGTAAAACGGCACCTACCTGGCCACAGGTTGGCAGTGTTTCCCACTCAAAGACTTGTCTTTGGCGGGCCGCCCGGGTATATTTGGCGATCCATTAGCATTTCGCAGAAAGAGTTGTTATCATTCATGGTGAATATTTCACAAGCTCTGACCAAGTAAAGCAACTGTGAACACACCAGCGCAGATACTATTAGTTAGCTACCATGTTGGTTTTATGTTCATAGGCTATTTCGTCAACACGCCTCCTTCACATACGGAATCGCAACCAGGTGTGTTTGTAGTAAGAGACAAGAAGTGTAGGTGTGTGCGAGTGTGGGGAAACTGAAGGGAAAGGGAGCAGATTAAATTAGCGAATAAACACTATAATAAGGTGGAGAAGGAAGTCTTCCCTCCCAGTCGCTGCGTAAGCGCAATATTCACGTTTCCCCACACGTTTCGCCGCTCGCAAGTCGCACATGCATTTGCAAGTCGTACAGGGCTTTCGCATGCTCAGTTTGCTGGTTGCTAGTTTGGTGTGTTTTTAATTAGCAAAAGAACAGGGTAGTTAATAATGCTTTTAGGAAAATAGAAATGGTGGAGAGATGCAAAAAAGCTCCTCAGCTGGATTTGAACTGTGGACCTTGTGGTTCATTGTTAGTGTCCTAACTGCTGAGCCAAGGCAACGCCCAGAAGAAGTCACAACATGTAACGTGCCCCAGGTTTGTATTAGGAGCCGTGTTTTTGGTGCATTACCTGCATGTTTAATATATGTGTGAGCTACGTTTCCTCTGGTGCTGGAGTGCAGGTGTGAGTGAGTACAAACTGTTGGGATTTGAACGTCATGTGAGACTCAAATCTCTCTTTCAGCTGCACAAGCAACACTCATTCCGGTCTGTTTGGATAAATCGTGTGTGTGCAGTTGTGGCATTTGGATTTGTCCTGCAGTAAATGCTCTACTGTTACAGACAGAATGAATGATTGGACTAACGCTCAGCTGGAACCTAAATGTCCCTTCATCAACATTATCGGGGCATTTGGTTGTGATTCTGGAAAATTGACCAAAGCATGAATCTCACAGATTTGGGAGTTGACTTGTAATTAGGCGCGTGCAGGATTTGAACGCGATTACTGAGCCACCTGCAGCAGCAGAGCTCTGGGATCATAATCTAATATATGATTGTAGAAGATTATTTTTCTTGTCATTTTTAAAAGCCCTGAAACGGTAAATGTTCAGACTGTTCTGCTCCTAGTCGCATCTCTTCAGCGTCTGCTAATCCACTTCTGCAGCTGCACAGGGAAGCCAGAAGCATTACGTACGAGGCCGGGAGGGAGATGGGACGCTCAGGATTTGGTTTGTGGGGGAGGCAGAAGAAGAAGAAGCAGCAGCAGCAGCTTTTAAGGCCTGTAGTTTAGCCAAATGTATGTATGACAGACATGTAACTGAAGAGATTGAGGTTTAACTGGTGTGCACCTGCTGAGCCTGCAGCCAGATGGATAACGTGCAATAACACCAGGATGTAGGGGAAGCTTGTGAGGTCAGTGGGTTCAGTATGTTTTAAAACAACAGGACTGAATGAGGCAGAGAATACGTCATCAAAATAAAGTATTGGCTCCAGGGGTTATGTGTCTGCAGTTTAAAGAAGGAAATCCCTCTGCTCAGTGTTTTGTTATTGGCTGTTGTTTGCATATCTGCTTTACAAATTTCAGTTGATTCTGGGGGGGGGAGTAGGAAACCAGGGTATTGTGGGAGAACTGTAACTTGTGCAACCTTCACAACACCATCATCACCAATAGATGTGAAAGACTTGTGCGTAAACAACATTGTTGGCAGTAACAGTTTGTGTCGTTGCAATATATAAACTTTTATTTTGTCTTTTCTTTACTCTTTGACGACATTTAAATAAACAAAAATAAAGTGGACAGCAGCAGTAACTGTCTCCAAACAAGTATGGTCTTAACTCTTAATAATAACTTCAGACAATTACTCTGCCTGGATTAATCCAAAAAACATCTTTCGTTTATTTGTTTCTCTAAAACTAAGACAATAGACATCCAATTGAATTGTACTGTGCACAGAGCTGAGCAAGGAAAAAGAGATTACAGGAATAAAATCACTCTTAAAACACAATTCCTGCTATTTATTTGAGGGTTTCTCACAGCTTTATAAGAGCATTATATGATTTTGGCTGTCTGAAATCTGACACATGCAAGTAAAGCGCAAAAGGCGTTTTATTGACAAGCTAGCTCCTGATTAGAGAAAGTAGTGCGGTGTGCACCATGCTTTAAATATTTGTTTCCTCTAATAAAAATCAGTTACAATAATCATCTATTCAACCAAAAACACAAAAAAAACTAATTAAACAGAACAAAGACCAAAACACAGCCAGCAGGTCTTGGATTTGTTAAACTATTTTATATCATAAACTGCAGGATTAATGTAATTTTTATTTTTTTTAGTACAACCTGCTCTGCGTGCTGTTTTATCTAGCAGGTGTCGTGTTTTAACCTAAAAAAGTTTCCCAGAAGCTGATAAATGAGTCATAAAATGTACTTTTTGAATTATTCGTGCTA